GATGGCGGCATTGGAGTTTTCTGCAAATGCCACCCTTAGTGCAGCAAAATTTGCATCTCGGGCCGTAGTCTCTAATGTGGCATCTCGGCATTTGCTATGGCTTCGTCATTGGCAGGCTGATGTCAAGTCCAAGTGGCGCCTAGCATCTACGCCCTTCAAGGGCGGAGCCTTGTTTGGTTCAGTCTTGGATCCCATCCTCATTGAGACACGGGATAAACGCAAGGTCCTTCCTTCTACCAGTGGTCGTGTCAACAGAAGGCAGCAGCCTTACAATAGGCGACAGCCCTTTCGGACTGGGGACTCGGGATTCGCCCCTGCTCCCTATGTCCCCAACTACACAAAGGGGTTTTCCCAGGCGCAGGATCGCGGCCAGGACCGCGCCGGAGCCAGAGATAGGGGTACAGTAAATTTTGTACTGAGAGATGTCCGTAAATTGTTAACTTTCAAATATTTTGACATTGCATTTTTAAGAATACACCCCTAGTCAAAAATACCTTCTGAGTGTCACAGTTTAGTTATCTCAAAGTTATTAAATATAAAGGTATTCTGTAATCTCAGTAGCTATATTACATTTTTATCTATTTGCAGGAGATAATATTTTATTACCTTATTTAAATGCATGAATTAGTGGCCTATCACTGACAGTATGACCTTTTATCTTGCAGCAATAATTCTGCACCACTATCATAAGTTTAAAACTCAATACAGCCAAACAATAATATATAGAGAGTATATGAGTATATGAAAAGTCAGGCTCAATAGATTTTTTTACAATATATATTGTATTAAGTGTTCAGATTGGTGACTATTTTCTTGTTTGATGCATGCCATTTGAACATTTCCTAAGTATGGTAATATTTTATCTGACCCTTGGTGGCGTAGTGCTTAGAGTGCAGTACTGCACGTTACTTCTGCTGCCTGCCGGTTGCCTGCAATTTGGCAGTTCAAATCTCACCAGATTCAAAGTTGACTCAGATTAACATTCTTCTGAGGTGGGTAAAATGAGGACATAAATTGTTAGGGGCAATATGCTGATTCTGTAAACCACTTAGAGAGGGTTCCGGAGCACTATAAAATATATATATATAAGTTTAAGTGCTATTGCTTTCTGGGGAAAAGGAGAACTAATAGAACATACTGTGATTTTCTATAGGGCCTGACTTTGAATATATCCTGTATAAAAGAGCAACCAAGGACAAAAAATCATAAATAAGCATGCATATCGCGGACCCAATAATGATGATTTGGCTGTATTACAAAAGTAGTACTGGAAGATAAACTAATCTTGTAATGTTCCTGTTGGGAAGACATTGTAAATATTTCCCCTTTCTTTACATGTATTTTAAGCTAAGAAATTATGCAAGAGTTGCTATTTTAATTGTCTTATAAAAGTAAAACATTTTACTGTCTTTTAACATATGTTCATTCATATTCTGTGATACTGAGTCAGAAAGAAAATGAAAATATAAATTTACTCAGTCCGTGACAATATGAATAAAGCTGAACTCCTTTGCAAATTTTTATGTCTGGTTGTAGTGCACATCTAAAATAACCTTATTTAGGTATTGAAGGCTGAAAATGAGTTTTATATTTTCCTCCTAGAGAATGTTGAAAAGCATTGTAAAGTTGTGATTTGACAATCTTTGTATGGCCTACATCTAATTTAATTGAACATTTTTAAATATTTTGCTTTTGCTACATGAATATTTCAAGAGAACTAAAATACGGAAAATGTTTTATATTTAAAATTCAATAACTCTCTGTTGTTACAAGAAGAGAAATACTAGATTTCTTTATAATTTGCAAGATCTAAATGCTTTCTGCTCTTTTTCCTTTTCCTGGCTTCTGCATCTGTCTTCGAGAGAAATACTGAAACTAATAAATTGATTTTCATTGCTGACTGTAACATTATCTTCTGCAGCATCAGCTGGGATTGCTGTGTCACAACGGAAGGTGCGTCAGATCAGTGATCCTATTCAACAGATTCTAGTTCAGCTGCACAAAATTATTTACATCACTCAGGTACCTTTTGCTGATATTATTTTAATATGGGCCAATTGTATTGCTTGATAGGTATAACAATAGTTTCTCTGCTCCCGGCTAGTATATATATATATATATTTTAATCTTGCGGGTAATATTTGTTTCTGCAAATGGGATGTGGGGTCCAAGAGCATTATTTTGAGGGGCCAGGGTAAACAGTGAGAATAGATATCACGCTTCCGGAAGTATAGTGATATAGGTTGGCTGGAGGTTGTTCTTTGCTCTTGCCCACTCCCTCCTTTTCAAGTCATGAATGGTGCAGGCACATAGGTATATCGATCTGTTTCTTAACTATACTTAGATTCTCATTTAGACTTAAAGCAAGTACTGTTGGACATTTTCCATCTGTGAGTTAGATTGACAGGCTTCTTCGACTGCTAACATTTTTCATAATCTTTGATTCTTAGCAGGGTAATCTATGTTGAATAACCTAGTCTTGCAGTATTTCTTCCTCCTCACTTTTAGCAAACTTTCTAAGCTTGTCAAATTCTACTTGGAAGACTTTCATTCACTCTCCAGTTAACAAGTCTTCAGGAGTGTAAATTCTGCTCAATCTAACTTAGATTTAATAGCCTGCATTTCCCTGTATTAAAATAGGAGCTCTTCAACTTTCATAGTTGCCTATCCTGGTTTCTCTGGTAATTTATTATATCTCTAGTAGAAGCCCTGTAAACCTCATGCCTACCCCTCTCCTTACAAATACTTTCAATAGGAAAATACTTTCTATATATACTTCTGGTAGTGCTGTGGTTAGAATGCATATTGCAGGCTAAATCTTCCCACAGCCTGGAGTTAGACCCGGCTGGACTCAAGGTTGACCCAAGGTAATTTAAATAAGGATTGTTCTCCAGTGCACTGCTCGGAGAGTCCAATGCTGGGTTAACACAGCCTATCTGCCCTTGGACTGAGTGATGTTTTTAGTTGACCACGCNAAAAAATAGTAAAACACAACTTTCGTTCAACAATCAAACACTCGGGCGGGTGAATTAGGGACCTATCTTGAATCTTGAGTACAGCAATATTGAAATTTTCAAAGAATATGATTTTCAAAATACATGAAATACATTAGCAATTTATCAACATATAAAATTATGTAGCAATAATACATACAACATATAAAATGATGCTCATATTTAAAAAAATCTTTCACATAACAAATCTCAGTCATGTTTATTTTTTATTGTTTCAGTGGTATAAATGTCTTAAAATAAGTTGGCAGAATAGAAGCAGAAATTGTTATTATAACATTTTATTATGGCAATTGTGATACATATTTTATCCATTGCAAAAATATTTTTCATATTCTTTAAGGTCCATTCAGAATAGGAGTATACAACATTTTATTGTCCAAGGGCCACTCTTAGTTTTGAGCCTCACACTGGAAAACAGACTTTCCAAAATATTGACTGCTCCTAGGAGACAACTAAGTCTGATCTAATTTGCATTTAAACTAAATTAAAAGTAAATATAGTTAAAATGATAACTCCCCGATTGTGTATTTAAAGCTGTTCTTCTTTTATCAGAATTTTTTTTACTAAACATTATTGCCATATCTAAAGCTTTTAGAAACAGCATATGGCTAAGGTCTCAAACTAAGTGGTGCTAATTAAAATGTTAAATAGTATGAACGTGCATTTTTTTGCATTAGCATTCTACAGAGAACTGCAAAGGTTTAGTAAAAAAAGTTAATACAATTCTTGAAGCAACTTCCTTTTTTAGATTTGCTCAGGAGCAGGAAAAAAGAAGGGCTGTTTTAAGGAATAGCAGAGAGGTTCTAAATATTTTGGATTGTACAAGGACCAGAATGTTTCTTTCACTCTTTGAAGATGCACAGCCATAAAATCTAGTAATACTGCATGATAAGAAAGGTGGAAAAGGTCTTTTTAATGTATGTGTGCTTTTTAGTAAACTTTTGATGAAATTGGGAGTCATTATTTATAAGACTCCCAGGTGATTTTCTTTCCAGGCATTGATACAATTTATATGCTAAATTTCTCACACAATTATTATTTGAAAGATTATTCTTGCTTAATACCTTTTCTATGTTTGCAGAGATTACACTGGAATTCCAGGATTCAGACCAAGACCTGGTAATTTCATTTCTGTCACTATTTTTGAAAGTATTCCCATCTTGAATGTCTTCTAATCTTATTTTTAAATTATGTTAGTTTCACATGTAGTTTTTTTTTTTATTTCTTCAGCTTTGCTGCCCCTTGATCTGCTTCTGAAAGAGCCTTCATTCATGTTCAGGGCCCACGTTAAGAAAATAGAGGATTCGTTAGTGACAGGGTGGAAATCCCATAGCCTTCCTGCTGTGATTCTGCGCAATCTGAAAGATCATGGTAGTACTTAAAAGTATCACTTCATCATTAAGCAAGTTATGAATAGAACATAGATTTACAGAAAAGTTATAAATAGTGAGATGCTGTATTGAAGAATACATAAATAACATTACATGGAACATTTAAAAAAAACTGACTTCTTAGACACCTGTAATCTTAACAGTATAGAAAAAGATGGGATAAAGAATGGTCTCCAAGTTTAATTGGAGCAGTCCAAGAAAAAAATGGAATGAAGATACCAGGTGGACAAAGGAAAAATTTAGATAGGAACAGTAAGTAATTGTCAAATGTCCCCTACCCATCGTTACCTTTTAGCTGCCCTGCACCCTGTATTGCAGCAAGCACCCCAGAACTGTGCAATTCTGGGGCTGTTTACCATGCTGTAGCTCAGGGGCCTCTTGGTGCACTGTGGCTCTGAGACTGAAAAATGCCTCTGAGCTGCTGCAGCAACAAGCCTCAGCTTTCCCTGGAAGCCCCAGTTGGCATAACAATGCGTTGTAAAGCCACAAAGAATCAGGAGAAAAAATAACAACTAAATGCTATCTTTTTTGAAGATGTAGAGATATATAAATTTGTGGTTGTTATAAAGCACATGATCTAACATAATGTTATGTAACGTAATATGGCCTTAAATTCAGAATTTAGAGGTTAGAGTAAATTTGGTTGAAACTTTCATTGGTGCTTCCTAAAGCAGCCTGTTTTTCAGTAAATGCTATGTTTTTATTGAATTCTTTGTATTCTATCACTTGAGTAGACATTTTTGCCAATTATCTCAGCCTGAATTAATACAGTTCCCGTGAAAAAATATCTGATATTATTTAATGTAAAAGACTGTTATATTTTTGGTTTGATATGCATAGTTACATTATGTTTATAATCTGTATATTTTGTTGATTTGCTGATCAAAAATAGTTTTAAGTAAGGAGAATAATTGCTACTAAATAGCATAGTAGCTTATTTGTTTAAAGTTCCAAAATACAGTATCTGTTTTAAACAAAAATAGTTTTTTTGATTCATTACTTTTTTTCAAAATTCTTATAATGCTCTTCAGTAGTTATTCTAATTCTATATTTCACATATATGCTGAAAACCAATCCATTTTATTTGGACTAGGATGGATCTGGTGCAAGATATAGAAAAGAATAGATAAAACATTAGTGGAAGTTTTTTGAAAGTTCATAATTTCTCTAAATAGTTTGTCAGTATCATAAAATAACACAGGAAAATCTTCCATCTCAATATCTTTTGTTTTTTATGCTCTTTCCTCCATTTTTTACATTTACAAGATTCAGGCTGAATAAGATAATCCAGTTCTCAAAATGTCTTTCTAAGCCAGAAGGTTCTTTACAAGTGATCCACAACTTTTGACTGTAACGGAGACTCATTATATTTAACAAGTGCTAATGACCATTAAGCAAGACAGTCTCATCTAATGATCCACATTCTTTGCTTTTCCTGATGTAGTCATTAAAACAATGTTTGGGTTGTTATGTGGATCAAAGGGTGCATCAGTGTGGAGGAGGCTTGGGAGATCTAGTGCAGGCTCAGGACCACTTGCCCTGGACTTCTTAAGGCCTCCATCATCCCCTGAGACACTTCATGTTCTGTTTCTTGTTCCTTGGATTATCAATAGTGCTTGGGCTTGCTTATTCACCATTTCCCATAGGCTTTTTCCTCCCTACACACCCTGGATTTATTCCTCATTCCATCACCCAACATGGGCTTATCTTTTGAAGATCTCTGGAGCTCCAGAGATTTCCTAACTGCATCAGGGCAGCAGAATGATTTCCCCCCTCCATATGGCTGCCTTCCAAAAGTGACTGCCATTTATATATGACTGCAAAGAATTGCCAGGTTGAAAGTGGTGGCTACTTCTGGGGCATAGACATGCAACCCAGGGACAAGGGTAGAATGGAACAATTCAGCACAGTAAGCTGATTGTTGCCAGTTCATCACCCTCAAATCGCTTCTGCCAACTCACTGCCACCAAGTCATCACAGGACAATATAACAAGGGCAATTTGCAACTCGCTGCGGGCAGTTTATACGAATGTCTTCAGCCTTTACATTTTCTCCTCAAGTTTCTTTTCTTAATAAGCTTAGTTAAATATATTTAATACATTATGCAGAGAATATTACATGTGGATTCTAACTTTCCAATAGAAAATTCATAGCTTCTCCTGTGTGCTGCTCAGGGAATCCAATCATGGGTTAACTTAGCCCTTTAGCCTTGAGACTGAGTATGTAAATTTNTGGGGGCAATATGCTGACTCTCTGTAAACCGCTTAGAGAGGCCTGAAAGGCCTATGAAGCGGTATATAAGTCTACTGCTATTGCTAAAAATACCCATGATTAAATATCACCAAAATGACACATTATTTGTTATAAAAAAACAACAATGTAAGCATTACAAACTATATTACATCCAATTTGAATCCTTCATTATATATTTATATATCTATTTCTATTTAAACAATTTCCCCATTTCCTCTCTTTAAATAGTCAGTTCTCGCAATTTTTTTAACCAAAAATAATAAGCCATTGTTTTAACATTAATCAAATAAACCAATGTTGTATTTAAATGATTGTTCTAACATCTGTTTTCTCATGCTCTCTACCTCTTTTCTTCAAATAGATA